TAATGGTGACTTTATTTTGGAAATTGCACGTTTATAATTCAATTTCTTATAATAAATATTAAGTATCAATATGATATTTTAAAGACATTCTGGTTGATTTATTTCTATCTTTTTAAATTTTATATTTAAGGTGTACAGCATAATTCCCAAAGTGATCCCCCTGATATTTCTAGTACCCAGCTGGCACCATACATAGTTATTACAATATTATTTACCACATTCCCTGTGCTGTACTTTACATCCCCAAAACTGCTATGTAACTTCTTACTCCCTTCACCTTTTTCACCCATCCCCTCCATCGCCTCCCATCTGGCAACCCTCAGTTTGTTTTCAGTATTTATGAGTCTGTTCTGCTTTGTTTGTTTGTGTAGGTTATTCTTTAGATTCCACGTGTAAGTGAAGTCACATGGTATTTGTCTTTTTCTGTATGACTTATTTTACTTAGTGTAATACCCTCTAGGTCCATCCATACAGATGACCAACAGACATAAGCAAAGATGCTCAACACCATGTATCATCAGAGAGATGCAAATTCAAACCACAACGGGATATCGCCTCACACCTGTCAGAATGGCTCCAGCAACAAATCAGCCAACGACAAGTGTTGAGGAGGTGGGAAAAAGGGAACCCTCGTATAGTGTTGGTGGCAGTGCAGATTTGTGCAGCCACTATGGGGAACGGTGTGGAAGTTCCTCAAAAAGCTAAAAATTAGGACTACCTTATGACCCAACAATTCTGCTTCTGGGAATATATCTGAAGACATCCAAAGCACTAATTCAAAAAGATGCATGCCCTCCTACGTCCTTGCAGCCGATTTCCATAGCTCAGATATGAAGCAGCCCCAGTGCCCGTCAATAGGAAACTGGATGAAGAAGGGGTGGTACATACATTCAGTGGAATACTACTGGGCTACAAAAGGAAGGAAATGTTACCCTTTGCAAGGCCATAGAATCAGTATAGTTTTCAGTCCTCCTTAACTTCACTATTCATTACGTCTCATTCCTCATGATCCCTTTTGTCTGAAAATACTCCATTCTGTCTCCCGTGATAGCACAGCCCTCTTCATTCTCTGCCTGTGCTTCAGGGTCTCTATTGCCAGCTCCCCCGCCTCTAGACCATCAGGACTGCCCAGGCTTGAAGGCTCGCCCCTTTCCTTACCCCATGACGCTTTCCTGAGCACAACGATTCATTGCCATGGTTTCAATGACTTCCTATACCTTTTTTACTTCAGATTTTACATATTTAATATGAACTTTTCTCTTGACCTCAAGGTCTGTGTATGTGTTGCATGCATGTTATCTCCTACTAGATATTCCACAGGCAAGACAGGCACAGCTTGACCAAAACTGAATTCAAACTTTGCTGTCACTCTCAGTCTCTGTCTCAGGAGATGGTGGCATCGCCCGTCCTGTGGCTCAAGCCAGAATCCAGCAGGGAAGTGAAAGCTGACTCCTGCTTCGTCATCACCTTCTGCAGTCATCACGTTCCAATTCTCAGACTCTCCTAAAACTTCAATTATTTTCATTCCTACCCCCCACCATGCTCCAAACTTTTTCTATTTTTTATTTTTATTTTTGTCTTTAACTAGTATAGTAGTATCTCTCTTTAGCCTGGCTGAAAGGTAATCTCTGGTAATTCCCTGTTTTTTCAATAAAATTAATCCATAATATAAACCAACGCCAATGCAACTGAAGAAATTTAAAGCCTATGTCTACATGTCTAAATAATTAATAAGCTAAAGAAAAAAATCACAATGAATATTATAAAATTTTGGAACTACATATAACAAAATAATTTTGTATAAAACTGTGTAAGAAATAAAGATTTAGAAGGTGATTTATAAGTTTAAATAAATTACTGGGAAACAAGAGGAGTTCAATATAAACTTTTAAATCTAAGAAACTAGACAAAACAGAATCGGCAAGTAGAAGAAAGGAAACAATAAAGAAAGAGTAATAGTAATTGCAACAAAGAACTGGAAAAATAATTGAGTTAATCAACGACCTTAATAGCGAGTTTCTAAAAGCAACAAACCCAGTAGGCATACATAGGTCCTTATTATGAAAAGGGAGATCTAGATATTAGAAATAGGAAGGGCTACTGCAAATAATGTTAGAAACTTAGGAGAAATGCTCCGTTTTTAGAACAACGAAGGAACAAAACGACACGGTAAAATACCTACTCAAATGACTGTGATAGCTTTTAAAGACACTAAGCACACAGTCAAAAATCTCCCTGCAAAACATACGTTAGGCTCAGATGGTTTTATAAGTGAGTTTTGAAAAGAACTGATAATCCTCATTTATTACAAATAGTTGCAGAGAAGAGAAAACACACTCCAATTCATTTTGTGAAGCTAGTGTAACCTCCACATCAAAATCTGGATAAGGGGAAAAAAAAAATCTGGATAGGATAAGAAAGGGAAATCATTGACCAATCCCCTTATAAGCGTGCTTGGGAACTGCTAAGTAATACATATAAAATATGGCTCTGCTTGTTTACCACGCTTCCATATGGGTTTGAGGGGTGGCAGGTACTAATAGAACAGCCTATAATGTACCTCATTGTTTGACCACTCTGGATTCATGCTTTAGAAATGGAATTTGAAAGATGCCAGTGATGATTAACTGGGTTAAACTGAATTTGTAGCCATTTTCTTTATATTTGACCCCAGTGCACCACAAGATGTTTTCCTTGCTTTTTAGAATCTCATTAAGTCTAATAGATTCTGCTGCCTGACTGTCTACACTCTTCCTACGTTCTCAGGCCTGACTTCTTTCACTTCCCCCACCCCCTTTTCTCTGGGAGTTAACATTTAGGGCCTATCATATTGCTCTTCTTAATTTATATCCACTCCCCTGCAGAGCACACCCATTCACATGCATCTGGTCATTCTCATCGTATTGATAACTCCCAAACCGAAATGCTCCCCATCTGCTCATCAGAACCCTAGAGCCCTCAGACACTCGGTGCTATTGTGCATATCACTCCTCAGATTTAATTTGACTTAAACAGCATTTTCTCTGTCAAAACAGCTGACTCAAATTTCCTATTTTCATATTCCTGTTGCCACTGTCATATTTTTGGCTACCTAAGCCTGCCGATTTGTCATTATTGTCTTGAATTTCTCTATCTTTTATTAGCTGTTGCCATTTGATTCAGCATTTAATATATCTGGTATTTGTTCCTTTCTATCCAGTCCGATTTTCACTACCCTTGGCGGACTGCTTATCACTAATACGGAACACAGAAATTAAATAGCCTCTTGTGTCCTCCAATCTGTACTGCTCACCGCTGCTCAGTTTTTGTTAAGCACCCTGTTCATCAGATTAGATCACCACTTTCTGTTCTTCAGTGGCTCATCATGTCTTGTTGCAACAAGGTTATAAGATTTGAGATTTCTCAAAATCAGTTCTTAAAACCAAATCAACACCATTTCCCATTTCTACTCTACCTATCTTCCTATTCCATGATATAATACTCATTATAAATTAAATCTCATTATAAGTTAGTCACACTGAGCGCTAAAAGAAAGACCTCTTACTATAGAAGTATAAACAATCTCCCTGGCTATGGAATCAATGTTACATTTTTATTTTAACTATGCTTTATTTTATTTAAAGTACATCAAAGTTGAAAATTCAGAGAGGCTAACCTAAAAAAGGGTTTATTACTCTATGGGCATTTTTTGGCAGGTTATTTTGTTGTTCTTGGCTGTTGTTGGTTTTTTTGTTTGTTTGTTTTGTTTTTTTCTGTTAAAGTGTTGCTTGGTGACGATGTTTAGAAAATTATTTTTTAGGATGACAACTCGTTTTTGAAAGCAAACATTTGGCTCTGATTAATTGGTTTGTTCCATAAAGGGTAGGGAGGAAGCTTGATGTGTCTTGTCTGACACTATTGTAAAGGGGTTTATTAAGAAAATTGGCTGTAACTTGTACCAATCTGTGGTTTCTGCATTTTCCTTTGGCTTATGTTTTCTAATTCCCTGGTCCCAAACCACATCAATTGTTTCTTAATTCACTTTAAGCCACATATTATCTTGACAATGTCTGTTACTCCAGACCCTTGAGTCCCTTGCCAATCTCAATGGTTATTTAATATAATATCAGAGATTATGTGATTGACAATGAAATTAGATCTCAAGCTGATACTTAAAACAGTGACCTACCCTAGGTAAATATCTAAATCTTGGGTTGTTGTTTGCCCCTATGCTCTATATTGTCAAAAATTCTCAGATTACTTTAAAAGAGAACATCCTGATAACATCAACTACAACAACGAAGTCACAATATTTTAGGATTAACGTTGTTTAAAATAATAACCTGTTTTCTCATTTACAACAATTTTTAACAAATTCTTTAATCTTCTAATTTAAATTTTCGGTCTTCTTGCATATTTATAGCTTCATTTTTGGTTTCATGAGTGTTTTGTAAGCATAGTGTTATTTTTACACAATTGCATTTTGTGATTCACAATTACAGCAATTTTTATTTTAAAGTATATATTAAAAATACATATTTTACTTAACTAATATTTTCCATTCCAATTTAAGTAATTATGTTAATTTATATACATTTAAGAGAGTTTATAATATTTAAGTTATAAAAAAATATCCTTAAGTTTTTTCAAGTTTAGAAGTTTGTGCCCCATACTTTTCAAAGCTTTAAAAGATATTCCTTTAGTATTATCTTTTCACCCTTTAAGCAAAGTTATATTAATAAATTTATTGGAGCATCTGCATAAATAATTTTGTTGAAAGTAGGGTAATTCATTAGTGGTTCTTATTTAAATAAATTTAATAAAAATGGCCTTTTCCCCAAAAAATATTAGATATTTCTTTCTTTGTCAATGGTAACATAAAATATTTCAGAATCCTCATAGCCCTAGAACTTTTTGAAAACATTGTTTGTTATTCTTTCCCATAAAGAAAACCACACACTCAAACATATATAGACCCATAGAGGAGATTGCAAATTTAATTTTATATGTAGCATTCTTACCTTGAGGTGAGGTTTCTTAGCCAGCATCGTACAAACACTGCTGTCTCTAACATTAATTTATCACTGCCTGGTAACCTCACTACTACCTAAAAATGTGCTCCACTGGCTCACAAACAATTATATCATCAATCCCCTCTGTGTGTAACAAGAGACCTTAACCACAGAACTGAGAAATAAAAGGAAGAATTATGCCAGAAGTAACAACGGTGCCAGGAACCTGCTCTGCAGGGATTGGCTAAATGGGGCCAACCAGTTGAGTTTCATTCACCCGAATTGTTGAGTTAACCTACAAGCATTTTTTTTTTTTTCATTTTCCTTATTTTTCTTTTCTGGGGTCTCCTTTGATTTCATGCTGGCTTTTTAAATTGAGGATAAAGTTAATTCACTTAACAATGCCACAGCTGGAATTAAGTATGCCTCTTCTCCTACCGCTGAGGGGAGGGCTGGTGCTGGCTGGCGGTGTCTGATTGGATGCCCAACACCCTTGAGGGCTGTTGCTGAATCAGTGGTGCCTCTAGCGACAGGCAAGAAGTTAACTAATTATGAACATATGGTTTGGCAGACACCTTGTCAGCTTGCTGCTGCGTAGGTGTTTGGAAGGAGGTGAAGGGGAAAGTTTGAGGTAGAAGGTGTGGTTAAAAGTCCCACTGACAAGCCTGGGGGTATTTGATTGATCCTAATCTATTCTTTTTGTCAGGAAGCAGCATGCTTCTGGCAGCAACAGCTTGGTAATAACAGAGATTTGTGGCCCTTAAGCTCTTGTGGTGATAGCCGGCACACGACCAGTCAACTGGCTCCTTACAAGGCCCGGTTTAATTGGCCACAATGGTGAGAGCAGAAATAGATGTTAGGTCAAGGTACAACACATGGCCTACCTGAAATGGTTAACAATGATCTGAGGCACAGATGTCATCTTTTATTGGTGTGATTGCCATCAGAAGAACAAGAGAAGCTTTGAGTAAAGGGGTGCAGGAAAGCCCTAGCAAGAGCTTTGCAAGTACACTATTCATAGTTAAAATACCTAGAGAAAATGGCAGATGTAAAAAGACTAGAAGGCAAATTAGTAGAATGGGTTGTGAGTGGGTCTGATGAAGAATAAAGCAGATATTCTATTTTATAGAAAGGAAGGTTGCTTGAAAAATTAATGGTAGATAGTTTAAAATTATCTTTGAATTTTGTCTGTCAGATAAGTTGGAATATCACACACACCTGATATTCAACTGCATAGCTAAACCAAATAGATGTTTTCCATTATCTAGAATCTGTATACATACTTTGTACATATCACTTGGATTCAAGTATTTAGAATCTTATAGTCTCAGTAATATAAAGGCTTCCACTCAAAATTATCCACAATCAATAGGAATATCATTGGTTTTTGTTCATTGAATCTTAGACATATTGTCTAAGTTTTATAAACTTAATCTAAAATTCTAAATTTTCTGGATCCTCAAAAAATGCTCCATGACTTCTATGAAGACTAGTTTACCTACCAGGAAACATTTGCTCTTGAAAGACTTGCTAAGTAGTTTCAAATCCTTGTTCTCTATTTACTGATTTTATCTTACTTACTCAGGGTGGTATAGACAATATAGATATTATATTGATTATTTAAAATTGAATTATTAATTATACAGAAGTGATTATGTAGACTCCATTAATATATGGTCACTAACAACTTCACGATGTTTATTAGTGAACTTATAGATAGAAGAAGTGTTACAGATGTGACCAGGTAGACTCACCCCTATGTTCTTCCATTACAAAGAATACACATGAATAGTGTTAGGTGTGAGTGACTGTGTGTGTGTGTTTTAGATTTACCAGGGTTGGCCCAGCCAGGCATAGCTCAGTGGTTGAGCATCGACCTAGGATCCAGGAGATCAGGGTTCGATTCCCAGTCAGGACACATGCCCGGGTTGCGGGCTACAGCCGATCAATGACTCTCTCATCATTGATGTTTCTATCTCTCTCCCTCTCCTTTCCTCTCTCTGAAATCAATAAAGATATGTTTTTAAAATAAATAAATAAGTAAGTAAATAAATAAATAAATAAATAAAAATAAAAGGGCTAGAGGGGTAGATAAAACACAGGCCACAATGAACCTAATAAATTATCTTAATTATTTTGATCTCTATCATTAAAACAATGTTGAAAACAGTACATAGTTTTAACCAAGGGTGGACAATAAAAATGAAAATGCTATATATATATTTTTTCCAAATATGTATTTCTAATATTTGATATATATTTCCAAAATACTGAATCTGCTGTCTCATGTTTTGGGAGCTCTGTGTACTTTTTGCTTAGCCAGTGATGAGCAATCAAGTGCAGGTTTTTAATTTTATATTTGAGCTATTTCACTAGTCCATTGTTACATTCAGGCTTTGTTGAATCAGGATGAACACTCTAAATGGGAACTTGGGCACTGAGTCAGAATTCGTTGGGAGACTGTTGAATAAATGGGAACCTTTGGGCTCAGATATCAGAATTTTTAAAAAGGAATGAACTGCTTTGTCTTTACTTTGATTGCAATAATATCACTTTGACCTCTAACTCTTCTTTAGGCTTTTAGTTTTTAGCCAATGGAAACACCATGCCTAGTTGTTTCTCTTCCTATATCACTTATTTTCTATCTCCAGAGAAATATCTTAGGGACCCAGGCCCTAATATTCACAGGCTGTGCAAAGTAGATAAATAAGTTATTTCTATCTGAATTTATGGGTCCTTAAGGAAATGGGCTCTATCTTGTCCACCTTGTGATCACTTGGGATTAGTAGAGTGTCTAGCATCATGTAGCTCATTTCATACATGTTGTACAAAAGAACTTCCCTGTACCTGTGTTTGAACATGTATCTACCATGTAAGAGGGCCTAGGTGCTGGAATTATCTATTGTCAACTCAACATCTTCTCTAGTCTGTTAAATCATTCTGCTATTGTCTATAGCAACTTTATCAAATCATCTCCACTTTCTTCAAACCTCCCCCAGGCCCCAGCCCCTTTACTGTTGACTAATGATATCCACCTTGAAATGTATAAAAGAATATAAATAATCACAAAAAAATCCCCAGTTTTCTTGAAGCCACACAGTAATTAATTTATATCTGTAGCTTCCTATCTTCCCTTTCCTTCTATAACAAAACTGTTCATTTTCCTATTTAAGACTGTTACTTCCACTGCTACATCTCATTGCATCATTACTTCTCAGAAAGCTTCACTCTTAATGGCCTCAGATGGCTTCTTCTCATGAACTTTTAAAAATGCTTGTTTCTTTCATTCAAAAAAAAAAA